ACAAGAGAAGCTACCACAATGAGAAGCCCACTCTCCACAATGAAGAGTAGCCCCTTCTCGCCGCAACTAGAGAAAGCCCACGGGCAGCAAAGAAGACCCAATGCAGCCAAAATCAATCAATCAATTAATTAATTAATTTTTAAAAAGCTAATGTTTATTAAGTGCTTGCTGTGTGCTGGGCACTATGCTAAACCGTATCTCCCTTAATCCTCACTATTCATGGAGGTAAGCACCATTATTGCCCCAATTTACAGATGAGGAAACAGGCCACGTAGTAACTTGGTCAGACCAAACAGCTAGGAAAGAAAGGGCTGAGCCGGGGATCTGGAACTCATGTCTGCCAGAGGCCATAGGCAAAGCACGTACCCATTTCTGTGCCACTGGCTCCCTGTAACTGGCCTCCCAGGTTTCTTCAGCACCCAGTTCTCCTCCACCCACCCAGACATGCTAGAGTCACCCTAAAACATGAAGCCTACCCTGCCAGTTCTCTGTGAAAATCCTTTAATGGCTTTCCACTGTTTTGAGGATAAGGTATGACTGTTGCAGTTTGCCAGGACCGGGGGTGGGGGGGGTTCTCGGGTTGCTGGGCTTTCATGGCTAAAACTGGGAAGGACCTGGGCAAACTGAGATGGTTGGTCACCCTAGCAGGGTGTGGCATTGGATGCCTCTCACAACCCGATCCCTTCTTCCCCAGCAACAGCTCCCACCATTCCTCACCCCTTTTACTGTGCCCTCTCCACGTCCTCTGCAGCCCAACCACCCTTCCCTGAAGACACTCCGAGATCTTTTTTACCTCCATGCCTTTGTGCACACTGTACCTCTATGCTGCCTGATAAACTATCCACTCTTCATGAGAACCCAGCTCCCATAGCACCTCTGTGGTCTTTCTTGATTCCCTGGGACGGAATGAATAACAATTACCTTCTACCTTGACCATTTTATTGACATGTGAGTCTTCCCCAGGGTCACACTGGGGTGAGGCAATCAAGGCACCTGGGGTGCAAGATTTAAGGAGGCATTCGCTCTCGGGGTTGCTCAAATGCCAACCCTATACTTGCCTGCCCCCAGCAGTGAGTGCCTCCTTAAACTTTGCACCCTAAGTACCTTAATTGCCTCACCTTAGTCCCAGCCTTGGTCCTATCAGACTGCGGAGTCCTCAAGAACAGACTCCAAGTTCTTACTCATCTTCGTATCCCTAGTGATTAGCACAAGGGTGGGCATAGAGCGGAAATCTAGCTGCACAAATGACATCAAACCCTTCTCCGTTCCAGTAGGGGAAGGAGGTAGGAGAGCCAGATGGCTTTGGGCCCTGCTGAGGATGGAAGAAGGTGAAAGCAAATTAACAGACTTCATCCTGGCCTGGGGTATGAGGATAGCTTTTCATCAGGTGGTTTTACCCTTGGCACCTGGCAGATCTGGGGCTCTTCCTACTTCTCTGGTCTCTCCCTCTCAGTTCCTTTCGCTGGTTAACCGGAGATATTCTCCAAGGTACCATTTTTTTTGTCCTTTTCTCTCCTTATTTTCCTCTGAATGATCCTGTCCACTCCCAGAGCTTCAGCTAGGAGCCCTTTGTAGATGACTTCTAAATTGACACCTCATGCATTATGCTGAGTGAAACAAGTCGAGATAGAGGAAGACAAATACTGTGTGATATCACTTATATGTGGAATCCAAAAAAGCCGAACTCATAGAAACAGAGAGTAAAACGGTGGTTTGCAGGGGCCAGGGGGTGGGGGAAATGGGGAGATGTTGGTCAAAGGGTATACACTTCCAGTTCTAATATGAATAAGTTCTGGGGATCTAAGGTACAGCATGGTGACTATAGTTAACAACACTGTATCATATACTTGAAAGTTGCTATGAGAGATCTTAAAAGTTCTTACCGCAAAAAAGAAACAGTAATTATATGACAGGATGGAGGTGTTGGCTAACACTATGGTGGTAATCATTTTGCAATATATAAGTGCATCAAATCAACACACTGTACACCTCAAACTTATACAATGCTATATGCCAATTACATCTCAATAAAACAGACAACTCATCTCTCTTTTAAGCCTCAGACCCACATTTCCAACTGCCTAGTTTATATGGTAATATCTAGCATCAATATTGCTTTCATATCCATTTTCTCATCTGACCCTTGCAACAGTTCTGTGAGAAAGTCAGGGCAGAATATGAATGTATTTTTTAGGGGAGACACAGAAAGGTAGCTTGCCCAAGTTTTAGTGGCAGAGCTATAATTAAAAACTCAAATTTGGGTGTCCTTTCTGTTATGTCATGTTGCACAGCCCACCACATGGATGTTTCAATGGAGTCTCAAACCCAACGTGATCAAAACCTCAACTTGTTACCAACTTCCTCCTACCCCTACTCCCCTGAAAAAACAAACAAACCCAAAAAACAAAACAACAAAACCCTGCCTCTGTTTCCCAAAGGTGTCTCATGTTCGCTGTTTCAGGCATCTTGGAGCCTGTGGAGGCCTGCTGGGAACAGGACTTCTAAAACGACAAATATGTCTCAAAGGTTGTGGCCCAAGGCCACTTTTGCTGGCTATAAGCGGTGTCTCCAGAACCAGAGGGAGCCTACAGCTCTTCTTAAAATTGAAGGTGTTTATGCTCGAGATGAAACTAATTCTATCTAGGCAAGAGATGTGCTTAGGTGTACAAAGCAAAGAACAACACAGTAACTCCTGGTGGAAAACCTAACAAAACCAGAGTAATCTGGGGAAGATAACTTGCACTCATGGAATCAGTGGCATGGTTCGTGCCAAATTCCGAAGGAACCTTCGTGCTAAGGCCATCGGACACAGGATCCATGTGACGCCGTACCCTTCAAGGATTTAAACTTATTGAAAAGTAAATAAAGTGTGGATTTGTTTTCTTGTTAAAAAAAAAAAGTATCTAACTTTCCCAATCAAGGCTAGAAACCTTGGTTTCATGCTCAATTCCTCCCACTCCTCCATAGCCTGCAGACTTGACCTTCACAATGTCTGAAACTCATTTTGAATTCATCCTCTCTTTTGCTTCTCTATCCCCATCGAGGCTCACAGAATCTCTTAGCCACACTCCTTTCACTGCTGTCCTGGCCTTCAGATCTGCCCCACCTCCGATCCTTCATATTGTCCTAGGGATCTCCTCCCTAAAGCAACAGATCTGATCCTGTCCCTCCCGGGTTAGAAAATCGCAGCCTTTGATTGTGCTGGTCCCCCAACCCCTCCTACCTACTCTTGGAGGCCCGGGTCAAATGCCACCTCCCTTCGTGAACTTGCACACAACCCCCCTGTAAACTTGAGATGAGTTCCTTATTCCTCTGCTCTCCCATAGCACTAGGTATTTATTTCATTCTGCCGGTCTTGCAACTAACTGTGCACCGTTCTGTCTCCCCTCTAGCCCGGGAGCCTGCTGGGGATAGGATCCCGGTCTAGTTAATCTCTGTCTTCTCCGAAACATGGAATCTAGGTCCTTAAACATAGTAGGTCCTTAATAGACAGCTGCTGAATAAATTTTTCCCTTAAGTGTTTGGAAACTTGTTATAACAAGGCCCATACTCCTAGTGGGTCCATTCAGTGAGCTGGGTAAAAATGATTCTCAACCTGTGGTGGGACACCTCACTTCTTTATACCTTGAGAGATCTGAAGTGGTCCAGCATTGCTCCTCTATATCCCTCACCTCTCCATACACTGCTCTCCCTCCCCCAGTGAAGGCAAAAGACAATTTTAACTCTTTATTTGAAACAAACAATTCCAGAGACAGAAGGTTAGTCGTGACAACAGCTTCTCACTACAACACAAGGGCGGGCATGGCTCACTGAAGGGACAGGCCAGGCGCCTCAGAACAATATATACAATTTAAACAGTGGCTAAACTGGTGACAGTTATAAAAACACAAAAAGGAGGCAGGCGAACAGCAAAGCCAACAGGGAAAGAACTGGGTACCCCCTTTGCCAGATGCTAAGAGTTTTCTGGAACTACAGAGGCAAGATGGGGAAGAGAGGAGATGGAGGCAGTGGGGGCAGGACCCATGCCCACAGCTCCTCACCTATCCTGACTACAGATCCCATCCTGCATGACCCAGGGCCCACTCAGGCTTGGCCTGGCTCTCACGATGGGGGAAGAACAAGAGTGGGGAACCCAGCCCCAACCCAAGTCACAAGGTAGTTTTTGCCTTGGGAACTCTGTCCACTGAACTAAAGGGAAGCAGTTACAGAAGGGGGCTAAGCATGTTGACACCATGGCTCATGCCAACCTAAGATGGCAGAGAGAGACAAACACATAAACCAAGGGGACAGGAGTCTGCTCCCCATACTTAAGAGTCATTCTCTGCCTTCGAGGGAAAGAAAGCATTTGGAAGATTTTTTTTAATCGCAGCACCAAGGGTTGATGCTTGCAGGGGTGGAGAGGGGGAACAAGGTGGCAAGGAGGTTCCAACCACCAGTTGTCTCATGGGAGGGGAAGAGTGCCTAAGCTCTGTGTTTTAGGTAAATGGTCCCCTCGTTACTTTCGTGGTTTCTCTCGTATCTTTCATACAAGACCCTTTAGCTTGGTACCGGGGAAGAGTAGAGAAGGGAGTGGGCACAGGGCAGAGAAGGCAGCTGGGTTCTTCCCTTGGCCAAACCTAGGAACAAGGGCCTTTACCTATGTGGGATGGGTCAGGAAACCCAAAGCCAACAGGATCACCAGAGCCATTAACACTCCACCCAGAGTCTGGCCCCAGGAGAAGGGGTTTACTCTGAAACATAAAGAAAATGGCCTAGCTGGTTTTTGCCCATCACTGGGAGACCAGTCCCTCAGTACAGAGAACTGGGGCCCTGCGGTTGTCAAGTGGTTTGGGAGAAGACAAAAGCCAGGGAATCCTAGGGAAGGCAGGGAATGGATAAGTAGAAAAGGGCAGTCAGGGCCCTTCAGAATGAGTAGCATTGGTTCCTGGGCCAATCGCCCTGTGGGACGTGGCCATGGGACAGACATTGGTGTGAAAGATGGATCCGGGCAGCACGTGGGTTTAGTCCAGGTCTTCCTCCCCGGGACGACCCAGCTCCTCATAAATCTCACGCACAGCCAGAATGCGATTGAGCATGCTCTCCAACATGCTGCGGTCCATGGGGATCACAGAATACCAGAGAGGTGACTCGGCGATGCAGGACCGCTCGGGTTGCAGGTAGAACACATCGTTGCGAGTCCGGAGGCTTTCGACTGCAATG